CACATGTGTGCCACCTTGAGGGATGTGGATTCACTGCCAAGTCGTGCGGCGGAGCAAGTATCACACATTATTAAGGTATTATAAATATTGCCAGAAATTGAGCTTATCATTGTTATGCAACTACGAATTTCTATAATATATTTGCTCTCGTCGCCTGTTAAGTTGTTCCGGACGTACTCTTTTATCTTCCAAAAGCATCGAAGACCTAATTATCCTTAAATGGCATTTGGCCATTTTGTTTGGTCAAGGTTCTACCGATATGTATCGTAAACAAAAAAGTGCAGAACATCGACCGTTAAAACAATAATTAAGGTATATATGACCACTCTAATGTTCCACAGATCCCCTAACAGTGCTTTCGGGAAGATGAAAAGCCGAATTAGGTTGTAGTCCGTTTGAAAACTTTTCAATGACAGTCTCTTTATGTGCTACGAAAAGGCTTCTACTAACAAACTTCAGTAGCGTGTCACTATCGGTAATATCTTGAGCTTACATTTAAATAAACTAATGTGGATATTACGTAATGTGTTGAGGGAACTTCCTAATTCAGAAGGTTAACTGTTTACCCATTTGTTCCCATTAAAAATGATAAACCATATTTAGAACTTAAAAACAATAGAATTACTGTTAGGTGGACACATGTTGATGTAAAATAAAAACGAGACAAACATGACAAGGTGTGGCTTATTGGCCATCATAAAGCCGTCATACCTTACGGCAGGTAATTCCCAACCCAAGCGAGAACGATAGAAGTTCCGTTTGAGCGCGATGATAGTTAATCAATGAAGTCGGTGTTCTTGACGGCAGTACAGCGAGCCCGTTGCTGGTGGTTTGAAGCGTCGGATATATACTAAAGAGGCCCTGGGATACAGCACCTATAGGTGCCCAACATGCGGTTTGCTATGATTGGCTAATGGCGGCCAGTCAAGCAGAACTGACCACTCTAGTATCAGTTGTCGTTACCGGATTTGTTCATCTGTCTAAATCACTGGCTACTGCTGGCTGGGATCCATAATGGTAAGAGCGAGTTCCGTTATTGACTGGTGAGGAATTGTCAATAAAGAAAGGTTATTATTATTTCCAAATGCGCTGAATTAGATAAAAAAAATCGAACAAAAGTCTGACAAGAGACAACATTCCTATGTTCACTATTTTGGTAGAAGAAATTCTGTGGGAAAACTAAACAAACCGTATTGTAAGTGTTCGAATCTGGCACACCAGGTCGTTGTCGGACGTGTGTATAGGACAGTGCGCATTTTTAAACATACCGCAAAATCGAAAGGGCTTTGTTTTCATTGGTCAATAGCAGACTTTCTCAATTGATACCTTTTCCAGGCTTCTTTAAGGTTGATGTACATTGCATCTAATTCAACGTGCCTATTAATGCATGTGTCGTTAGATTTTATCGTCTCTAAAAATGTGCAACCTTTCGGTGAGTTTAGATCGAGGGGTCGGTTATTTTTCCTCTCTAGAATAATCAACTACTCACACATTTTCAATAGGTTGAATTACCTATACTTTTCCGGTATTCTACACGCCACCCATCGATCCAGCTGGGATTCGCTGATGGTATTAAACTGCGGAGCGGTTCTTCGAAGGCAACCAC